AGTGAAGATAAAGACAATCAGGCATACTTTGATTTATAACCTCAAATGTTTAATTCTACACAGTTTGTCCACATCTTTAATTGTGAATACATTATTTTGGAAATAAAATAAAACACAGATTTTAACCCATGTAAAAAAAATCAAGCAAGAACATCTAATTTCTGTTCATTATGTAAAATGAGTTTGCCAGGAATGAAAAGTAAGTAGAAAATCAGGCCAGTACGTAATCATACAATTATTTTGATTCAGACAGAATGATTTAGGACACGAACTCTCTGTCTAAAGTAAGTACAGCTTTATTTAAATTGATGCAACCTGGTTATATAATTTTGCTTCCAGCATCCAGGTATTTGGGAGAGGAGCAAGGACAATGTGAAATGTTAAAACAAGGCAGGCCGATTTACATGGCCAGTACAAAGAACAGCAACTTCAAAAAACACAGAGGAAATCCAAGTTTAGACCACAAAGCAGTGATAAAATGATGATACAGTACACACAAAAACATATAAAAGGGTTATACAAATCCTTCTCTGCAGAGGCGGTTTTAGGGCAGCACAACCAGTGCAGTTGCACCACAACAATGCTGTAGAACAGATTGTGAGAGGAGTGCTAAATTTCAGCATTATACAGGGCACTACTGAAATGAGAGCCTAAAGTCCACCACTGTCCTCTGACATGTTTAGCAAGGGGTGGATTTGTCCTCCTCATATGACTGTGGAATGGAGATTCCTATGCAGAGGGAAAACACCAGGGCACAAATGTTTGTGCCCAACACAGGTTGGGAGGAGGCTCCACCCACTATAATAGGTGCTGCCACCCCCTCTTCACCTGTCAGTCTGTCTTCTCAGAACTGCCTGCTTCTTGGCCTATACCAGGTACATTTGCCTTCGCGTAGCCAGTTGGCAGTTTCTACTAGTTGGCTAGATTTCCATCACCTGCTCTTCTAACGTGCTGTTTTCTGCCAGTGTGTGTGCACTACTATTCTTCATCAGGAAAGAAAAGTACAGTGGTACCTTGGTTTTCAAACGTCTCCGTTGACGAATGTTTCAGTTTTCAAACGCAATAAACCTGGAAGTAAGTGCCTCGGTTTTCGAACATGCCTCAGAAGTCAAACTGGAAATGCGGCTTCCATACTGAGTTTTCCATACTGAGTTTTCCGTTTTGAGGCTTCCGGTCTGAGTTTCCGGTTTTCAAACGTTTCAGAACTCAAACGGTCTTCCAGAACGGATTACGTTCGAGAACCGAGCTACCATTGTGTATCTAGACAACTTTAAAATCAAACTTACCTCTATTGATTTTAGAACTATAATCACAGTATTGAAAGAAACCAGACTTTTATCATCATCTGTAGAACACTTAAAAACTATGCAGAGTGCCTCTCACTGCTTCTCATATCAATCCCCAAGAGGCTGGCCATTAGAAATCACAGATTAACAGTTAGAAAACTTAACTTGACAAACCATAATAGTAAAAGGATCAAGACCACCCAATGAATCCATGCTTTACTGTGGAGTCAAGAGCATTATCTTTTGAAACACCATCTGGGGCACTCTGCTTGCCTTCAAAATACCAGTTAACACCATTGCTATGGCTGCTGTAACGTTATACTGCCTTGAACTTGTCTTCCTTCCTGCACCCATTTTCTGCCTCCATTATGTGAACTAGTCTATCTATACTTGGTCAGCCTTGATAGCTCCAGACCCCCATGCACTAGACTGCTTGATCCTGCAACAACATTGTCACACTAACTCATAGCAGTATAAGCATCAGGGGACAAAGCATTCCCTTGCAATGGTGATGAAAGATGAACCGGATTTGCGTCCCCGCTCCTCCACATGCAGCTGCTGGGTGACCTTGGGCCAGTCACACTTCTCTGAAGTCTCTCAGCCTCACTCAACTCACAGAGTGTTTGTTGTGGGGGAGGAAGGGGAAAAGGATATTGTAAGCCGCTTTGAGACTCCTTAGGGTAGTGATAAAGCGGGATATCAAATCCAAACTCTACTCTTCTTCTTCTTCTTCCTCCTCCTCCTCCTCCTCCTCTGTGCCCTCTTGTCTCCAGGGCTATGTCAATTAGCCGTAAAATGAAAAAAGCAGCTTTATAAAAGTAAATGCACAAAAACAAAACACACTCCTAGGAAGAGCTTCCAACTTGGAACTGGTTCTGTGGCCTTAGCATGAATGAGATATTGGTTAGCCTTTTTGATTCCTGCATGTTTCTTTGGTTTGCTTGATGGAAAGGAGAAGCCAATCCAAGGAGATACAAGATAATTCTGGGGATTAGCATTCTGTCATCATTTGCAGAGCTCATGCGTGCACCTCTGTCTCTCATTCTCGCTTTGTTTATTTTAAAATTTTTATTCAGTTTAACAAAAATCACATATATTTGCAAAGCAAATTAACAAAAAAAAGGATAAATTGAAAGCGTAACATTCATAATTTGGCATATTTTACATAATTTCAAATAAGTATTTTGGATCATGTGAAAAACGTGCTTTGTTATGCCACCATTCAGTAATCATTGCTCAATTATGTCCATGTCTCTTTTGCTCCAGATCTCTGCAAACTCTGAAAGGTTTCTTTTGCTGGTATTGGGGGGGGGGGCGTTGAGAGAAGGAAGAAAGCTTCTTCCAAGAGAGCTGCTGAATTCTGGAACTGCTCTTCAAGTCTTGGAAGAATGCCAGTTTTACTTCTCCTGCTATAGTAAACATAGGAAAAGAGAGATGGGAGGAATTGTTTTGAGGTAGAATGCTTCTTGCCTTCATCCTTGGCAGGAACAAGTTTTGACCAATACAGACTGAGAGGCTCTCTCCACAGCTTCTGGCGATATTACTTCAGCCTAGACATCTTCTCTCCAGTGGCAGGAGGCTTCCACTTCTATGGCATCTGGAGAACTGTCTCTTAAGAAGGCTGTAATTAAATGAACTCGCTTGAGTCTGTTCTTCACAGGGGATAGTAGGAAAGGGCAACCAACTCACTGGGTCCACATGAAGATGGGTCTCATGAAAGCTTCTCTCACTAGGCTCTGAGAAGCCTTAGGGGTGGCTGGGTGTTGGCAGCCAAGCTTATGAGCAAGGATTTGCTTCCTACTGATCAGCTTGACTGCCTGTTGTTACTATAGTTGATAACTTGGAGTACTTAGCAAGACTCTTGGGAAACCTAGGAAGAGTTTGCATCGCATGTCCAAGCTGTGGAGCTGTTTGTTTGAGTCTACAAGATTTCCCCTGTTTTGGAACATATATCATGTCCACCTGGTTAGGCAGGAGTTAACATATTGAACAAACAAATATTTGATGTAATATATTTAATAGGGATGGGGTGGGGGTTTTTTTTTGGGGGGGTAAGTTTCTCCACCTGCCTGCCTGCTTCCTGGAATCCCGTTCAAGCTGTTTGTCTGCTTCTGATCTATTTGTCTATCTGAATCATCTGACCTCCTTACCTGCCATTTGTACTTCTTAAGAGCTGGATCTATTCTGATCACAATTCTCCTCAGGAGTCTTCCGGCACCACATGTTTACCTAGAGGTCCTGGGGACATTATTCCATTTGACTTTGCCTTCTGCTGTGTTTTGCAGACTAGCTGTGGCTGAGGCTCATCCAAACGCCCCTGACAGGATATGATTCAACACAGCACGTCTAATGGTTTCTTAAAATACTGCTGTATATAAGCCAATCTTGGCTACACAGCAGAATTGATTGCTTGTGTAATTTATATTGGAACATATTGGCTAGACCTTGATTATTGTTTGGGCAGTTGCTTGTTTAACCAAAAAGCCATTTGAAGATCTCCTGAATTGCCAGGGTTAAATCAGTTTTACTGCCAAGAGAGCAGTTCTAAATGAAGTCTCTCTTTCTACATGTTAACAATCTTATTCTACAGCAAGCCATTTCTGTGCTCTAATAATTTGATATTGAATATTTCCAGGATAAACAAGCCCCAGACTTACTCAAAGACACATGCACACACCCTCAACATCTGTTTCTTATATCTATCATTCTTTTTTGTTACGCCATTCTATGCCAGGGCTCTTGAGAAGTCTGACTGCATCTCCTGCCAACTGAGACCACATACACAAATGTAAACAGTGTTATACTGACACTATATATATATATATATATATATATATATATATATATATATATATATATATGGTATATAGTGCTCCTTGGTAAGATTACAGGTTCCAAGTCTTACAAAGCACAATCTCATCTTTTTGAAAACCACAATGCAACTCTTTTAAACATAGAACAAAAAAAATGGTTACAAATGGCTTTGATAAATAGTATGGTAAATCAGGGGCTCAAGCTGGTTAGAAAAGGTCTTTCATTTTAGTGCATAAGATTCAAAATCCTAACACCAATAGTTAGGTTTGATGTTGGATAAAAGGCAATATAAAACCTAACAAAAAATGTAAATGGACGATAGAATTAAAGACGACTGTACAAGATCACTAACATCACTAACACAACTACAGTTGGAAACAATTTTCCAAGAACAGATTCAAATTAATCTACAAAGAACTATTTATGACAGAACTAGTTTCTTTGCCCTGTGGATGGTCTATATAGCATGATTTAGTAAAATCGGAGTGATCTGTGTGACACACTTCACCTTTGCTGTTTGCACTGAAACTTTGGGCATCAGAGGACACAGGCTGTTACTATACTGAAAACACATGATTGAGTCAACTGACACAAGAGAAAATTTACTCCACTGCAGTTTGCTGCATTCCAAAAGCTGGGTAAATCCTTACAGAATGCTGCAGACTGTCTGCTCACTGAGCCTGTTTTATCTTCCCTATATTGTCTGCACTGCTTTTTCTTATTAATTCACCCTTTCCACTTGTGTGTTATTGGGGAGGGAATATACAGCAAGGTTTGGAGGCAAAACCAATTTGAAGTTTGAAATGTGAAACATGACTTTATTGCCCTCAGTTTTATAGTTACCAGCATCTACAAATAAGACATCTGTAGATAACGAGATAAACATTAGTGCTCATGTTAACACCTTTTGAAAATCCTTAACGTTTTCTAATGCATCATAGTTAATACTGGGGCTGAGCAACTTTTCTTCCTGTTTACGTTAAAAATGGGACACCTTTTAAGGCACTGAAACAAGGGGTAGAATCTTCTGGTTTTTCTTCCTCAGAAATTCATTTTCTTGATCATAAACCAAATCTTCTAATACATAGCACCTGCATTTTATTGAAAAGAGAAAATTCTGGCTCAGGACTGCAAGCTAATACAGTGAATGCTTCCTGTAGTGAAAAGAAGAGAGATCAGAACCATAATTCAGGTAGAGGAAAATGGCCCAAGTTTTATTTTTGCCTAAACTATCAGCAGATTTCCTCTCTCTTAAACAGACCGAGCTTTGAAAGACCACAATTTTAGGCATCAATTTGGGTTCTTTTGTTGACTACATTTCAGCATGAAGCTGTCCATACTAGAAGAGCAATAGGCTCTGAGCAGCAGAGCAGTCCTGGGGTTTTGCTTCTGCCGATTGGTTGTTTGGATTTATTTGCTGATTTATGGCACTGCCTCTATTAGGTTAATAAAAAAAAAATCATCTATGATCATCTACGATTCTTTGTCAGACACGATGTGCAAGCGATTCAATCTATGCATCCCTTTCTACCACTTGACTAGCCCTGTTCATGTACATATGGCATGTTTACACTTCTGCACTATCTTGCCACTGGGTGACAGCCAAAGCATGGAAACAAATGCCCCTTTCAGGCAATCAGAATCACTGCACCGCTCCATGAATATCAAGTGATTTAGGCAAAACAGAACAGGAGGAGCAGAAGATAGCTATCTCCTTGCAACCTTGTTGATATATAAGCAGAGAACTGTGACTTTCCTCATATAGAGTAAAAGCAAAGGCCGACCTGAACATTTTACTGGAACATTTCTCATGAAATTTTAATGCTGGAGCCTCAAACTGTACAAGCTTTACATTATGCAAGTCAAATATCAACAGTTCTCTTTATAAAATACCAGCCCTCTTCAGTTCATGATCATAGTGTGCAATGCAGGGGAGTGGGGGAAGAAAAATTAGTTTGGTATTTGTTTAGTTTCCATGTACAGCTACTGAAATATTCAGTTTAAATAGCACTTCAGGAAAGCACTCTTAGAGCTCCAAGTATGCAAATTATTTTTTCAAGCCTAGATGTGCAGAAAAGTTGGCAAACATCCTTCACCCAAAAGCACCTCAAAACAGAAATTTATAGTCCAGTTTTAGGTGGCTAGGATTCAGATATTACCTGGGCAGAGGCCGGAGCTTGGTGGTAGAGCATATGGCCTGGAGGCAATAAATTCTGGCATCTTCAGGTGAAATGGACTTTGGAAAGCTGCTGCTTACTGAAGAATACAGTACTACACTAAATGGACCAGTGGTCTGAGTCACTATAAGGTAGCTTTGTAGGCTTATTGGGCTTGAATTTTTCAAACCTTGGAAGGTACTGATAGTTATCTTAATATTAGATACTATTATTCTTTAGTTCTCCTGCATATCTTTGTACAATGTGGGTGTATGTGGGTGTATATATAAAATACTATTAGATACTATTAGAAGTAAATTCTTCTGATTTACAAAGTGGACTATCGAAGCTCAGAAAAATTACTTTCCCAATAAAAAAAGCCTCTCTCTACATAATCTGGCTTCCATGTTACATTACTGCATGTTTGGACACAGGGGCCAAAGACCCAAAGATTCATCAAATGTGGCTCACAGCTCTGAACAGCTATTGTCTCCTTTCTTCCACGTGATCCACTGGGAGTTTACAAAGCAGTTTGTAATATGACATCTAGGAGTTCCATTTAAACAACAACGTTTTTTTTTTATTCCACTGGGTTAAGATAAAGAAGTTGTTTGGATTTGGGCCAAATATTACGAATACTACATTACATCTTCTATGCTTGTAATATTTGTAAGTATATTTCATGTACACCACTGACTTCACAAAAAAGAATCTATATTGTTGAACAACTGGAGCCTCATTCACAGCCAATTATTTTAATTCTGTAATAAATATGATAAACCAGGATATTCCAATGCATAGGTACCAGCTCTGAAGGGCTGAGGCATCTTCAGCTCCCCTAAGTGCTGGGTTGGGGCTGAGCCCCTCCAATCTTGAGGGGGCAGAAGAGGCGGAGTCCTTCCTTGCCCGCCCATCTCCCTCCTCCCTTTTTGTCCGCTGTGCTCAGCCGCCTTGGGAGATGCTGCATAGCGTCTGTGACAGTCACATGATGTTGTGATGCATGTGACATATCACACACACACACACACACACACACACGCCCCCCCGCCCAATGTTGGGCACAACTCGGTGCCTCTGTTCCAATGTATGAGCAACATTTTGTTTATAAAAAAAACGAGGAACCTTTCCTTGTTTGGTGCCTTCATTATACAGTGGCACCTCGGGTTACAGACTCCGCTAACCCAGAAATAGTGCTTCAGGTTAAGAATTTTGCTTCAGGATGAGAACATAAATTGTGCTCCGGCAGCGCAGCAGCAGCAGCAGGAGGCCCCATTAGCTAAAGTGGTGCTTCAGGTTAAGAACAGTTTCAGGTTAAGTACGGACCTCCGGAATGAATTAAGTACTTAACCCAAGGTACCACTGTACATCTTTAGGCTCCAGGCAAAAACGATCCTCTTCAACCAGGCTGTTGGATGATTAATATTCTACTGTCTTTTAGATGTGTTTGTGGATGAGGGGAGTTATTGCTTCATTTTGTTTTTGTTTTAACCATTTATTTTTGTGCTTTTATTTTGTGCTTTTGTGTTCTTATCTTGGGAACTGCCCCGAGATCTTCAGATGAATGGTGGTATATAAATTTAATGAACAACAACAACAACTACCACTACAACTACTACTACTTACATCATATTTTCAGGTTCTGTTGCACAGGATCCCACTGCTTTGTTGACATTTACGAGGAGAGCCTGATTGGTTCCAGTGAGTAAAGCGACAAGGGATGGGATTCCACCACATCTGCGGATAATGCTCCGATTTGCTTGTTCTTGGCAACATTCACCTAGTGCTCCAACAACATTCACAAGGACTTCTTCTGGCTGATCTGTTAGTAGGCCAACCAAAGTTTCTATAGCTTTGTACTCCCGGAATCTAAAACAAAATAAAGTAAAATATCAGAGTTAACTTCACCAGGACGATATAATCCTGAAACATTTATGGAGCTAATCCTTCCGAAATCACAAATTGGACACAATATTTCAGGAACTCTTTAAAAAGCATTGGCGTTACATTGTGCATGTTTTAGGCTTTAAGGGCATATTCTGCACTACACGTTTAAGTACCGTATTGACCTTTAAAATTCAAGGGGGGGGAGAGAAAAAAAGACAATACCCGAATATAAGCCGCTCCCTTAAAATTCCACAGGAACTCACACCTGTTCTGTTTTACCGTATGTCTGTTTCAGCTGCGGGATCATAAAAGCCTATTTTTGTAAGGTCACGAATTTAAGCCGCACTTTAACTTTTCACAGTTGGAATTTGGGGAGGAAAGTAATGCTTATATTCAGGCCAGTACGGTAATTTGAAATCAGTTTAGCTGTAATTGTTAACGTCAAAACCACAGGGAACTGTTGAGTTTGAGGAAGGTGTTGAAATCTCCAGTAGAAATTCCTTAGCCTTTTCTACAGTTCTCACAATCCTTTAATTAGTTCTTAAAGAGATTTGAAGCTGAATTATATATAATATAGATATAATAGAAGGTTCTCCCATCTCCAGGGAAGGTACATGGGATAGGGTATGCTGTATGGTGGCACTACAAATATGGAAACCTCTCTCTCTCTCGAACTGGCAAAGCGTGTTCTCCCTAGCAGAGAGCACGTGTTGCGGTTGGGAACAGGCCACCCTCCAGTGACTAGGCAAATTTAATTGAATCCCGACCATTTAAATGGTTAACTGGGTTGCTGGGGTGTTTTGATGGTTGCCATTTCAGGGGAGGGGTCAGAGTCTATATATACAGGGGACAGACTTGGGCACGGCCTCTTGGCCGTTTTTGCATCGGATCACCCGCCCTCCCGCCCTTTTATAGGGTGGTTTTTTGTTTTGCTCGCTTGACCTTGCTATTGCCTGTCATGGGGTCGTCCGCCTTGGTGCGGGGGCCTAGTAGGAATTTTGCCATCTGGCTGATTGGCTGGTGCCATTTGGTTTTTGCCTACTACGTAGCAAATCGTCACAACTTGTAAGGTTGGCGGTTAGGCATTGGTTAAATTGGTGCTTGGAGGGGTAAGTGCCTACCCCTCCAAATGATGCGAATGGGAATTCCGTTAAAGGAAATCCAGGGGCTTGCCATTCTTTCGTCCTTGTCCCCGGAGTCGGACTTGGGCCGTGCAAGCCCCACAGGAACATGAGGGTGAGAAGTAATGGTCTGGTTCCCGGCTTTATTTCTCACCCAATACTTGTTTCCCACGCTGGCTTCCGCTGGTGTCCGGAAGGCCAGCTCTGTCCCTGAGGGCAAGGACAGATAGTCATAACCAATGCCTAAGCAACCACTCACATTTTTTGTATTGAATAAAGTTGTGGCCAAAATTGATGCCAAAAACCTTAAACAAAAATTGGATGTGTGAAGTGTGAATTATTGGGGGGCTACTGTGACTCAACACGCAACTGTCATTTTGGCCAGTATTATTAGTGCGCTGCTGCAATTAAGGACCTGTGGGTACAGGGCAATATACAAATTTAATAAATAGTAATGAGTGACTGGGTGGTTCCATGGCAAGGCATGCAGGCTCCGCTGGGCACTTGGTGGAGGCATTTGGTCACTGAAAGAGCCCTCCCTAGTTGGCTGGTGGTGAGTGGAGCACGCAGAGGGGTTCGGAGGGAAGAAAGGCAGAGAGAGTGGGCAAGAGTGGCAGGGGGAGAATGAAGGAAGGGATGGAGGAAGGAGACAGAAGGAAAAGCACCAGGCAGACAGACAGACCAACGGAAGCGCAGGCAGGGCAGTGGAGCAGAGCAGAGGAAGTCACTGGCAGAGCATGAAAGGCAACGAAAAGCAATCTTTTTGAGTCTCTTGTCTATGGTCTCTCCCAGCTTTGGAGGTGCTGATACACCTTGTGTTATGTACTGAGTTGAATAGGATCCAAAATGCAGCAGTCTGATTGGTCCTAGAACAATGCAGCAGTCTGATTGGTTTGCAGGAGCCACCCAATCCAGCTCCAGATGGAAGTGAATCCACAACCTGATTGGCCTACAGGAGAATTCTGGAATTAGCCAATCACGTGCAGCCCATTGTGTAAATAATGTATATAAAGCAGATACTTTGAGGGGACTTTCATTCCTCCTCACCACTATGAGCTGAATAAAGAGCATGAAATCCACTCTCGACTCGGAGTATATTTCACCTTGCCAAGGGTGAAAGGGTGTTTTTTTTGGGGGGGGGGGGGTTGCCAATACAGCTTCTTGCCAAGGGCGCAAGACAGTAGGGGTCCACCTCTGACCACGAATGCACATTTGCAACATCTAAAAGGTGACTTTTAATCATGCGTAGAGCTGTTAAATCTCTCTTCCTCGGATGTTTGCTTTGTCACGACATGAAAAGATGCTAAATGTATATAGCTGACAATGTGAAAATGTTATCCATACTTTGTCACGTTTTCTTTGCTGATTGCACATTTCCAGATTGCTCCGGTCACTGCTGCCAGAAGTTCTTTGTTTCCAGAATTACCAAGCAATGTAGCAAGAGGTTTGAGGCCTCCATGCTGCCTAACGAGCTCACGTGTTTCCTGGTCTTCAGCACACTATGTAAAAGGGGGAAAGCCAGAAAAAGTACGAGCATACATAGCTGAGGCCTATAAAACAGGCTTACACAATGAAAGTAATGAGAGCAATCCAGCGTGCTCACGTCATAATAAGTTAAATGGAACTTGGGCCCATTTAGCCTTGTCTCTAGTATGTAATCAACAGCTTCACAAGCACTGCAAAAGCCTTTTCCAGTCCAAAGCTTCATTTGCACTCCAGTGTGAATATGCTGCTCCTGTGCCAGAAGACTTCTCCACTAACTTCATTGTTAAAGATGGCTCCTGCATCCATGATGGATCTGTCTCCGATAAGAAAGTCAGTGAGGAATCCCCTTCGAAGCAGACACTTTATGGAGCAGGATTTCAGGATCTTCAATCATTTTGACACATTAAATGTCAGGGTCCCAGATTAGGGAACAACAAGAGAGCAACAGTTCTCAACCTGTGGTCCCCAGATGTTGTTGGACTACAACTCCCATCATCCCTGAGCTCTGGCCTTGCTAGCTAGGGGTGATGGGAGTTGTAGTTCAACAACAGCTGGGGACCCACAGGTTAGAAGGCTGCCCCAGAGGGATTTTACATAGCAGTGGAACCACTACAGCAGTCCCAGTCCTGCTGCACGCAGAGACAGGATGGGAGGCTGGCTGGTTGTTGCGCCCGTCTGGAACTGGTGCAGAAGCTGAGGCTGAATAGAACCCGATGGCGTCATGTGACAGCAGCAGGGCTACCACAGCAACCAACAGCTCAGTCCTGCCCCTCGTTCCTTCCCCAAAAGTCCCATTTCAGCACTTCTGCTGACATGTTTGACATGTTTCTGTACCTCCGCCAGCCTGCACGTCAGGCAGACAGAAAGGGAAGCTCCACACCAGCCAATCCTGCCCCAGCCCGGCACAAAGGGGTTTGGATGACTTTGTAACCTTCCTAGCTGTACCGTTGAAATTGCAAGGCTGTACTTATTTTATATGCTTTGTAGCCATTTTGACTAGGGCATCCAATACAGTTGGCAGCATCTTAGAAAGCAAGGCATGGACATGTTGCGAACTGGGTTGCTTACTATTCCTTACGGAACTTTTTGCTCTAGTTGAAGTACTCGTCTGCCTACTTCACCACTATCATGCTTATAAACTCATGTTTATGGAGTTTTTCAGTCCTCTTGGTAGGGTAGGGTAGGAGGATACAACTCGCTTTCCAATATTGCCCAACCTGTGCAATATTACTAGATGAAATAATATGCAGGAAACCTCAGCTGGCCTGGAAGCATCCCTTACCTTAAAAATAGCACTGGCACAATGCATTTGAAGCTCTTCATTGTCACTGTTCAGATTTTTCACAAGATTCTCTATCATCTTCTCATTTTTAATTGCGAGTCTGTAGCTTGGCTACAAAGGCAAGTTTTATGTATTAAGTTAAGAGATGTATTAACAGATAAATTGCTATTATTCAAAACGCAAAACACGATAGTAGAACCTTGATGATCCAAACCATATTTATGCAGAACCTTTACAGGGAACGCTCTCTAGCTTGTTTACAATAAAGTTGTTGTTTCAACAATGGCAGCACACACCATGGGCAGAAATATAACAAGATACTAAGAGGTCCTGAGACTCCGATTAGAACAATCCACCACATAGTTCTATAGCAAAGATCCTAAGCTTCATAAACAGAAGTGTCTAAACAGTGTTGGAGCACATGTTTTCACAGGGATAGTAGGAAAGGCAATCCAATCTCACTGGGTCCACAGAAAGATGGTCTCATAAGCTTCTCTCACTAGGTCTCTGAAGAAGCTAGGGGTGGCTGGGTGTTCGCACCCAAGCTTATGAGCAAGGCTGCTTCCTACTTGATCGAGCTTGACCTGCCTGTTCGTACTTCGCGATTAGTTATAACTTAGTACCTACAAGACCTTGGGAATACCTTAGGAAGGGTTGCTATCGCATGTCCCAACGTGGAGCTGTTTGTTTGACGTCGACAGAATTGCCTCTGTTTTCGGAACATAATCATGCCACCTGTTAGCAGGAGTTAACCTATGAACAAACAAAATATTTATGTAATACATTTAATAGGGATGGGGTGGGTTTTTTTTGGGGGGGTAAGTTCTCCACTCCCTGCCTGCTCCTGGAATCCCTAGTTCAACTGTTTGTCTGCTTCTGATCTATTTGTCTATCTGAATCATCTGACCTCCTTACCTGCCATTTGTACTTTTCTAAGAGCTGGATCTATTCGAGATCACAATTTCCCTCAGAGTCTTCCGGCACCACATGTTTACCTAAGAGGTCCTGGGACATTATTCCATTTGACTTGCCTCTGCTGTGTTTTGCAGACAGCTGTGGCTGAGGCTCATCCAAACGCCCCTGACGGATATATTCAACACAGCACGTCTAATGGTTTCTTAAATATCTGCCTGTATATAAGCCAATCTTGGCTACACAGCAGAATTGATTGCTTGTGTAATTTATATTGAACATATTGGCTAACTTGATTATTGTTTGGCAGTTGCTTGTTAACCAAAAAGCCATTTGAAGATCCCTGAAGGTGCCAGGTTAAATCAGTTTTACGCCAGAGAGCATTCTAATCGAAGTCTCCTCTTCTACATGTTAACAATCTATTCACGCACCATTTCTGTGCTCTAATAATTTGATATTGAATATTTCCAGGATAAACAAGCCCCAGACTTACTCAAAAGACACAGCACACACCTCAACATCTGTTTCTTATATCTATCATTCTTTTTTTGTTACGCCATTCTATGCAAGGCTCTTGATGAAAGTCTGACTGCATCTCCTGCCAACTGAGACCACTACACAAATGTAACAAGCTGTTATACTGACTAGTATATATTGTATTATATAATATCTATATATAATATAATATATATATATGTGATATAGTGGCTCCTTGGTAAGATTACAGGTTCCAAGCTTACAAAACAATTCATCTTTTGAAACCACAATGCAACCTCTTTAACATCAGAACAAAAAAAATGGTTACAAATGGCTTTGATAACATAGTATGGTAAATTCAGGGGCTCAAGCTGGTTAGAAAAGGTCTTTCATTTTATGCAATAAGATTCAAAATCCTAACACCAATAGTTTAGGTTTGATGTTGGATAAAAGCAATATAGAACCTAACAAAAAATGTAAATGGACGATAGAATTAAAGTACGACTGTACAAGATCACTAACATCACTAACACAACTACAGTTGGAAACAATTTTCCAAGAACAGATCCAAATTAATCTACAAAGAACTGATTTATGACAGAACTAGTTCTTTGCCCTTGGATGGTCTATATAGCATGATTTAGTAAAATCGAGTGATCTGTGTGACAACACTTCACCTTTGCTGTTGCACTGAAACGTGGCATCAGAGGACACAGCGCTGTTACTATACGTAAAACACATGATTAGTCAACTGACACAAGAGAAAATTTACTCCACTGCCAGTTTGTGCATTCAAAGCTGGGTAAACCTTACAGAATGCTGCCAGACTTCTGCTCACTGAGCCTGCTTCTATCCTCTCCCTATATCTGCACTGCTTTTTCTTATTAATTCACCCTTTCCACGTGTGTCTATTGGGGAGGGAATATACAGCAAGGTTTGGAGGCAAAATCCAATTTGAATTTGAAATGTGAACATGACTTTATTGCCCTCAAGTTTTATAGTTACCAGATCTAAATAAGACATCTGTACATAACGAATAAACATTAGTGCTCATGTTACACCTTTTGAAAATCCTTAACGTTTCTAATGCATCATAGTTAATACTGGGGCTGAGCAACTTTTCTTCCTGTTACGTAAAACTGGACAACCTTTAAGGCACTGAAACAAGGGGTAGAATCTTCTGTGTTTCTTCCTCAGAAATTCCATTTTCTTGATCATAAACCAAATCTTCTAATACATAGCACCTGCATTTTATTGAAAAGAGAAAATTCTGCTCGAGGACTGCGCAAGCTATAACAGTGAATGATCCCCTGTAGTGAAAAGAAGGAAGATCAGAACCATAATCCAGGTAGAGGCAAAATGCCAAGTTATATTTTTGCCTAAACTATCAGCAGATTTCCTTCTCTCTTAAACAGACCGAGCTTGAAAGACCACAATTTTAGGCATCAATTTGGTTCTTTTGTTGACTACATTAAGCATGAAGCTGTCCATACTAGACAGAGCAATAGCTCGGGTGGGCGGGGGGGGGGGGTGAGGCAGCCCAAAAAAAAAATGAAAAAAGCCCCCAAAAAAAAAAAGAGTTTTCCGCCCGGGGGTGTTCTTGCCTTCCCCTTGCGCCCCCCTGATTGGTTGTTTGGATTATTTATTTGCTGATTTATGCACTGCCTCTATTAGGTCTAATAAAAAAACATCATCTATGATCATCTACGATCTTTGTCGACACCGATTGCAAGCGATTCAATCTATGCATCCCTTTTCTACCACTTGACAGCCCTGTTCTCAGACATATGGCAATGTTTATCACTTCTCTCTACTAATCTTGCACTGGTACAGCCAAAGCAATGGAAACAAAATGCCCCTTCAGCCAATCAAATCACTGCATCGCTCCATGAATATCAATTATTTAGGTCAAAACAGAACAGGAGGAAGCAGAAGAGATAGCACCTCCTTGCAACCTTGTGATATATTAAGCACGAGAACTGTGACTTTCCCTCATATAGATAAAAGCAAAAGGTCCGACCTTAACTTTACGAGAGAACATTCTCAAAATTTTAATGCGGAGCCTCAAACTGTACAAGCTTAACATATATGCAAGTCAAATATCAACATCTTTTATAAAATACAGCCCTCTTCATTCATGACATCGAGGTGCATGCAGGGATGGGAAAGAAATTAGTTTGATATTGTTTAGTTCCATGTACAGCTAAGAATATATTCAGTTAAATAGCACTTCAGGAAAGCACTCTTTAGAGCATCCAAGTATGCAAATTATTTTTTCAAGCCTAATGTGCAGAAAAGTTGGCAAACACCTTCACCCAAAGCACCTCAAAAAAAATTTATAGTCCATTTAGTGGCGTAAGATCAGATATTAGCCTGGCAAGGCCTGACTTGGTGGTAAGCATATGGCCTGGAGGCAATATAATTCTGGCATCTTCAGGTGAAATGGACTTTGGAAAAGTCTGCTGCTTACTGAAAAATACATACTACACTAAATGGAACCATGTCGTGAGTCACTATATTATGTAGCTTTGTAGCTTATTGCTTGAATTGTTTCCAAACCTTGAAGGTATACTGATAGTATCTTAATAGTTAGATACATTATTCTCTTAGTTCTCTCTGCATATCTTTGACAATGTGGTGTATGTGTGTATATATCAAAATACTATTAGATACTATAAAGTAATCTCTGAGATTTACAAAGTGACTATCGAGTCAGCTCAGAAAAATTACTTTCCCAATAAAAAAAGCCTCTCTCTACAGAACTACTGGCTTCCATGTTCATTACTGCATATTGTTGGAGCACAGGCGTCCATCCATGACCTAAAGATTCATCAGAATTGTTTCGCTTTCACAGCACTATGACATCTATATGGCACATTCTCATAGACCCTACGATGCACTGTTCACAGATGAAAAGAGCCAGCTCTTGTACTATTATATGACACTTAGGATTTCCATTAAAATACAACGTTTTTTTTTATTCCACTGGTTAAGATAAAGAGTTTTTGGAATTTGGGCCCACAAATATTTACAATACTACATACATCTCTATCCTTGTAATATTGTAAGTATAATTTTCATGTACACACACCCAATGACTTCACAAAATAAAAATCTATATGTGTGAACAACTGCGAGCCTCATCACTAGCCATTATCTTAATTCTGTAATAAATATGATAAGCATGGATATCCAATGCATTAGTACCAGCTCTGAAGTGCTGAGCATCCGTCAGCTCCCTAGAGGTCTGGGTTGGCTGAGCACCCTCCAACTGAGGGGCAGAAAAGAGGCGGCAGCCTCCTTGCCCGCGCCCATCTCCTCCTCCCTTTTTGTCGCTGGCTCAGCCGCCTGGGAGATCTGCATAGCGCTGTAAGTCACATGATGTTGTGATGCAGCATGTGACATATCAAAGCACTACACACAACACACCCATCACACACGCCCCCCGCCCAATGTTGGCACACTCGGGCCTCGTGTCAATGTAATGGACAACATTGTTTATAAAAAAACGAGGAACACTTTCCCTTGTTTGGCTGCTTTCATATACAGTGGCACCAGTCGGCGTTACAGACTCCGCTACCCAGAAATTAGTGTCGTTAAGAATTTTGCCTTCAGGATAGACAAAATCTGTGCTCCGGCAGAGCGTCAGCAAGCAGCAGAAAGGAGGCCCCATTACTAAAGTGTGCTTCAGGTAAGAGACACTTCAGGTTAAGTACGGACCTCCGGAAGAAATTAAGTACTTAACCCAACGGTACCACTGTACATCTTAGG